TGGAGGCGCGCGCAGCCCTGCAGGCGCTGCTGGCGGCCGAGGGCGCGCCGGGAGCAGATGGCCGACTGCGCGAGGACACGGCTCTTCGCGCGCGCGCCCTGCCGCTGCGCGCCGCCGCCACCCTGCACCTGCCCGCGCGCGTCGGCGACTACACCGACTTCTACGCGTCGCTGCACCACGCCACCAACGTCGGCATCATGTTCCGCGGACGCGAGAACTGCCTCATGCCCAACTGGTGAGTCCGCGCTGGCCCGGGATTGCGTTCTTGCAAAGGGTATTCCACCACGGACCGACCATACACACGGCACCGGTGCACAAGTGAAGTGACGTATTTTTAAAGTTTTTTTTTGTAGTTGCGCGATTTGAAACTATCACTACCTACTGAAATGGTTCAAGGCAACAGCTATTGCCAATGCGATCTCTGTCTCGAAGATCCTAAGATTTGTGGCCCAACGGTGGCCTTTTTACGACACTAGCAACCTAGCTACATGGAATTCAGCTGTCTGAAGGAGAATTCTTGCGGCCCAATTATCTGCTCTGATCGGGAGTTTCCCATGGTTTCTCCGATCAATACGCCATGAATGACCGGAGCACTACCTTAACGGGCCTGGAATGAAGACCGATCTTTCCTTCCGAATTTTAATTCTTACACACACATCCACTTACATCCATTACATTTCCACACGTGCGGGTAACTAGCTGGGAGCTGAGAGCGTGTTCCAGTTACGGCGATGCCACGCTGGCAAATTTATAGAAGAGGGAAATATCTCTACCCGACGTATAGGTTGGCTCACGATCTCGCAACCACGTCGGGGAGATACACCGCCACTCCCGAGATATAACATGCACTGCACTTACAGGTCTAATCACCACAGTAGCTGGCGCGCCCAGAAACAAAATAATCTGTGAAATCTGTTATTGTGCGATACCTCTGAGTGATTATTTCTTGTTTCCGGGCGCTTCATTGCTATGGTTATTATTCCCACATGTATAGTGCATGTTTCATCACGGAAGATGGCTGTGTTCTTTCTCCGCTGGATGGAGAAATCTGGCGCCGACCTACACGTCAGCTTGCTGGATTTTCCTATTTCAATTTTAAAATAATCATCATCAATTTTAAAATAACACCATATATGTCTAAGTAGTGTCTAAGAAAATCATAGTTCCTCCGCAGGTAGTGGAAGTGATTATTCTCTCAATCTCTAGTCAGTACTGAATAGTGGTATCATTTGGAAGGTTATACGAGCCTGAAGAGAGATTAGAATAAACCGTTCTTCAGAACTACGAGTACAAAAAGTTTTTAGAAAGTGATTTCAGAAAATCTTTCATCCAACACTATGCTCACCAAAGAAATTGTGCATTGCTTCTATATAGTTCTAATTTCAGATACATTTTTACAGGAACGTTTGAAGTATATTTTGATACTTTTAAATATTTTTTCTGAAGAATGTAATAATAGTGTTTCCTAAATATTGAAATTTGTTTGAGCCTGAAAATCATCTGAACAAACAATAAAGTTTCCGAAGTATTATCAGAAATCTTCAAAACCGTAGTTGTAGCTTGTCAGTTATTAAAGTTATCGGTCCCATATTGTCTCTGTTATTGATATCAAGTTGCAGAAATGAATTATGAGATTTGAACTTATGGCAACATACAAACACAATAGTGCATACAACAATGTTTTTTTATTCTGTAACAACCACGCAGTCGTTTAATTCAGTTCTGCTAATGCTTAAATTTGAAAGATCTTGAATTTTATAAATTAAAATCACTCCAAGCGATTAAACGGTCTTTACGTACTCCCGTTTTGGAGTTGACTGTTTCACGAACTCTATTTTGTATGTTACGGTTCCTTTGTTTATTGGTTGCATTCGATGAAAAATCTTCTCGATATATGTGTATTGAAAATTGAAAAGGGGTCTACCGCAGCTCCCAGTAATCGATCTTTTTATCATTCACGAGCCCGCAAGCCCCCCATACTCTTTCGCACATGTGCGCTCACAAGCGGATCTTACAATCGAACCACAATAAGGGCAGACGCCGGTTCGAAACAATACACTCTTGTCACAGAAATCCATTCGAATGCGAGAAAGAACCTCTTGATTTCCCTTCGACGTGAACGTCACGTTCTGAGTGAAAGCCAATATCATTTGCAAGCGTATCAGTATCTCAATCTTTTCCATGATTTGGAGATCGACGACACTTTTAAATCGAATGTTCGAGAGAGAGAGAGTACTGCTAACAGAAGAGTTGACATCTTATAATATTCTTGAAATTTGAGACGTTAAGAAATATACTATAAGAGCGAAAATGCCAAATTTTGAAATGAATACATTAAGTAAAATTTGTGCATTTAGCTGATCACATTAATAGCTAAAGTGTTTCCACGTTTTACAAGAAGAATACATTTTAAGAACTATAAAAGAAGCCAAAAAAGGTTTCAATACGTTTATTGAACTTTCATTTTCGAATAAGAAACACCTAAAAATGAAAACTATATGACAAAATAAAGCCTGACTGTCATTGTAAATCATACAGAAAGAACCAAACTTGATATCTAATTTAAAAATGTTGGATTTTACAAGTGCCTGTATCAATGAACAATCCAAGAGTAATTCAATAACTAATATCTGGCAAGTCAATTAAATTATATAAGCACACATGATATCTAAAATAAAGTACATATTTAGAAGACAAGACAATATTGAGAGATTAGCATTCATTGATTTGGCACCAGAGATAGAGGTTCCCAGTGGAGATTCCCTCTCACGTATAAAAGGTGTTAGGTTGAATTAATTCGCAAGCACTTTTTAGTTATATACTGTAAAAATTGTCTTCTAGCTTATATTTTGTTGCATTGTTTTTAACCATTTCCATTGAAATCTGTAAAGGGGTTTATCCACTAAAGAACACTCGAGTGCAATAAAATGAAGAAAGACATATCCGATATAAAAGACGGATTGATCATTCTAAATTGAGGAGGATTTTAATGAAATGTATATTTTATAGTAGATTTGAAATATTTTTCGGATTTCATCGGTAATACCTATTCATCATTATTTGAAACTATAGATTACGACGAAGGAAATAGTTTGCGTGAACACCAATTGTGTGGCTGAAATAGCGACGAGGAAAATCATTCCCGTTCGTAATAGAAATAAAGAATACCTGTAGAAACCTACTTAGAATAATGTCCAAGTTTTGTACATCAGTGGTAGTAGAATTACTGTGTACTGGGTTTCCCACTAAGATGCGACAGGAAGGTCATTAGCTTCTCTGCGTAGTGATGGTTTAGCACATTAAATTTTTAAAAATAGCATTTCGAAAACAATGCTAAATCATTTCATAACATTATAATAATTAAAATTTAGCCTCTAGTTGTTTCTTGAGAAAATTATTATTAAGGGAGGTCTCATCGTGAATAATCATTTTTTATGCTTTTTAGATATTTCCATGAAAATCAGGAAATAAGAGAAACTAGTTTAACATTTTGTCATTTGTGAACTTCAACAAATATAAAAGCGTAAGAAGTAATGCGTGCGCAGTACATTTGAGGAAGCTGGCAACCCTTAGCGTTCAGGCTGTCAGGATTGGTTTTTTCAATTGTCCTTATTTTTTCCCTTTGTTTTATCTTAATTATCAATCTAAAAAACCTTAATTATAAATCAATAAACATGGCCACTCTAAAATTAAATGTTTTCAAACATCGATGTATTGTTGACGATGTCGTTTCCATAGCAAGAGAGGAAACTCGAAGGAAACAATAAAATGCAATTTCGCAATTATATCGCATACTCAGGACCATTTCGCACTTTATCACACAATGAACACGTTCAGAAATATACTTCACCGACCGTCAAACATGCAATTATTAATAATTTTCAGCATTTGGATTCGAATTTTTTGTTATTGCAAGAAGAATCTGTCATCTCTAGGCATGAGGAATGTTAAACACAACTAGTGAGAGAGACGTGCTGTGACAGACGTCTTCACAGAGGGGAAAATTTCGAAAGACGCCCAATGCCCATACGTTATAAAATATTTTATTTCCGGAAGAACGTTCAATCCCTTATTTACCGCTTTTTCATCTGACAATTCGTGGAATTGTTGTACGACATTCGAGGAAGATAATCTCTAACCCGTATGGCTACCCTGGAAATTGTTCAACATAAACTCAATAATATATATTAATTGCATTATTAAAGTTATTAATTCTGCTAGTTTTACATTTTATTTCTTTATAACTACATACATACATACACATGCATACACTTGTGATACATACATGTCTAGGTGCATACATTTGTAACATACATGGTGAGTAAATAAAACTGTTTAGTGGACATGGGGTCCAGATATGTAGTTCCGCCCGTTGATTAAGGATGTAGTACAAGCATATTAGCGCAACCCTTTTCTCCACGTCCTTGCCACCTACCTTATACCAGAGCATACATCGTATCGCACATGTTAGGAAATCATTGTGGGAGCGTACTCTGGAAAGTCTAGAGTGGTTTTCTGTGAGGGATGTGGATGGAAATACCGTACAATGTACCATATACCATATACCAGAGCATACATCGTATCGCACATGTTGGGAAATCATTGTGGGAGCGTACTCTGGAAAGTCTAGAGTGGTTTTCTGCGAGGGATGTGGATGGAAATACCGTACAAAGTCGGGAATCAGGTGGTGCCCGACTGCCGGAAACTAGCAAAGGCTATCGCCACTTCCCGACCCACGGCACACACACCGTAGAAGCCTTGTGGTCGGTGGAAAAGAAGAAACAGTTATTTGTATTCTTTATTTAACGGCTAATACAGTAAAACTCTATTTTGCGTTGAGAGAGAGACAGACAGACAGAGAGAGAGAGAGAGAGAGAGAGAGAGAGAGAGACGGACAGACAGAGAAAGAGAGAGAATGAATCCCTAACAGAGTTTGCCCCATGAGTAAGACACTTTTGAGAAAAAAGTTAAAGGAATATATTATTTACTGTCTTGACTACTTTCAAAGTCCCCTCCCCATGACGCTTCATGTGTGCTCCGAGTTGGTATTTAGTGCATAACTGCACATTCAATGTTTAGGAAAATCCCTATATTATTCTGTTTAAGATATTAGAAATTTTTGCGTATAAGTACTCGAATTATGAAGAATGATACATTTTGAAGAAATTTTATTACTTATATTTTTGTTGAACTGCATAAAGGCCTAACAAACGCTGTACCCGACCAAACGGGTCTCGGACCGCGGACCGCTCGGACTTTCCTTCCTCTTCCTTGTCCTATTCTCACCCCTTACCCACACGCGCTTACGCTTGAATGCACTACACTACCACACATGTCGGAAGACCAGCCAGGCGTTTGAAGCTTTTCCCTGCTGGGGCGATGTCCCGCTTGTGGGTGGTACGTGGTTCGAGAAATCCCTGCAAGCCGACGTGTAGGTCGGCGCCGGATCTTTCCATCCAGATAGGGAATTTATCCACCACCTCCCACAAGAAAAGCATGGGCTACACTTGCGAGAGTAGTAACCATAGCAGTTGGCGCGCCCGGAAACACGAACCACCATGAACCAACGCAAAGGTTGTTCGTGGCGCAGGCGGCACCTGCCCGTGGGCTACCACGGGCGCGCGTCGTCGCTGGTGGCGTCGGGCACGGCGGTGCGGCGGCCGCGCGGCCAGACCTCGCCCGACCCCGACGCCCCGCCCGCCTTCGGCCCCTCGCGCCTGCTCGACTTCGAGCTGGAGGTGGGCGCGCTCATCGGCGGCCCGCCCACGCCGCTGGGGGAGCCCGTGCCGGTGGCTCGCGCGCACGACCACATCTTCGGTCTGGTGCTCGTCAACGACTGGAGCGGTGAGCCTCTCATTTTCTTTACATAGTACTATGGGTAAAAGTAGTGTTGGTACAACAGTGTATAGGGTGGAGTGCGGTAAATGTGCCCTTGGGTTGAACGTGTACGCGTTTAAAAAAATGTGGAAATATCATAGCTAAGTACACATGTGTTCCACAGTCTGGGGTAAATGTATAGTTCAGAAGTTGTTTCTAAAGAGCTTTGATAAAACTGTCAAAATTTGATTTGTTTTAAACGTCCAGGGGCGTGATTCACGGTCTAGAATAACATTCCTAAAAGATAAAATATAACAAATTTTAAATATAATAAAAACTAATTTTAATATTAAAAATAATAAAAATAATTATTAATTATTGTAGACCCACTAGAAATGGACAAATTTGAATTTTTCTGAAAATGATACGCAATTACCCCACTCCAACCTATACCTCCAACCTTCTCGCATTATTTGTAACTTTCAAAACTTCAGAGATTCCATTGAAAGTGAGACTTGAGCGATTTTTAAGCATGCTTCACACTATTCGAAGAAAAATTAATAAAATATTTGAGAATGTGTTTCAGAAAATTTCGAAAAAGTTGTTAAGGCTTCATGTAAAGCACCATCAAAAATAAAAATATCCGTTGTAAAGTCCCAAGGCCTGGAGTTCATTCAGATCGATCGCTAAACATTAATTTTGGAGAAAGTTGTCTCGCTGGTGTAGAAGATAGTGTTCACTACAGTCGGAAGGACAGGCTGGCAGACGTTTTGACGTCAATCGATTTTTCGCTCATTTTGAAACAGATTCTCAATACATTTTCTTTACTACGTAAGTACGTAGTTAGGTGAGAAAGTAAGAGTGGAAAACATTAAACAAATAATAAACAGCACTTTTCTGATTTTGACAATCCTATAACTCTGGTACATGTTAATGCACGCCTGGTTCCAAGGAATGCGCCCAGTTTTGATACACTCGGTAACTCAGTGGGCGCGATTGCGGATAGGTGAAGGGAGACAGGAGGTGAGGGAAAGAGATTGAAAGTCGAGGAATAACGTAAGTGGGGACATACAAGGGACGAGGACGTAGAGCGAGAAAAAAGAAGGGGTGAGCGTGGTGAGAATGAATACGAAGAGAAGGCGAGTACGTAGGCAGGAAGAGACTGGAGAAAGCAAACACAAATGCCGAGCGGAGGCGATTGCGAAGTAGGATCCACGACAAAGCGGGATCGACAATGGAACGAGCTGGAGTTCGATACGTGACCGTATACGAAAAAGGAGGAGCGCGTAGCGGGGCCGAGCGCGGAGCGGGGCCGAGCGTGGAGTGCGAACGAGCGCAAAGCGGGTACAAGAAAGGAGAGGGGTCGAGTGATGAGAGGAGATGAGCACGGAGCAGAGAGAGCGGGGACGCTGCGTTTTATGTCGAGGATGAGGCGAATTCGTTGGCGTATATAGGAAAGGAACGGTGGAGCTAAGGGATAAACGGTGGCAGAGGGAGAGATGGCGACGGCGAAGACAGAAGGGACGAGTTATGGGGGAGCGCGCGTGCTGTCTGGCGGGCGACGATAGCCGCCCACGCGGCGCACCGCCCCGCGCACTCCGCCCCGCTCGTCTTCGCTCGCCTCCGCTCGGGGAAGTCCACTGGAAAACGAGGCGGCCGAGGCGGAGGCATCTATAGGGCCATTTTACACGTTGCGCTCCCACGCGCTGTGCGGCGGAAGGTCCTATCACAAAAATGAGGGCACTCCATTCAGGTGGGGATTAAACCGTGATAATTTATCAGTTTGATCCCCCGACTGTATTATACCGTCAGATTTGGGTGGATATTCTGAAAGGATCAATTCCGCATGACATGATACACCTCAATGTGTCATGTGATCACTCCTCCTCCCAAGTAATTACAGTGCGACGTGTTGCATATAAATTGTAAATAATATGAAAATTCTGTCGAAAGGGAAAAGTACACCAAGAAGCTACTAGCGAAAGTCGCTGATGATAATAATTATAATAGCAATAATAATAGTTTATTATAATTATTATAATAATATTATTATTATTACTGTTGTTATTATTAACTTCCTCTCTACATAGAGTTTTTACAACGAAATTTTTCTGTGTGTTCAGTACATTAGTGGTTTCGACAAATATTCCTGCATTCCAGGGAACGACTTTTAAAGTTTGCACTGTTGGGTGGAATGGGGAATTTTCAATAAATCGATGAAATGTGGTAAAATGAACCCAATGGTAGTAACGTCTCACCATTACGAAGAATATGTAATTACTGTCATCATTAATAATGAAATGTGTTAAAAGTCCTTCACTGAAACTTTGGGAAAGACTTAACCACTTATTCTGTGCCTTCACAATTTTTTTCCCATAATATAATTTCCCATTCTCTGGGCAATTAGGCTCTTACATAACGAGGATCTAGGTATCTTTCTGGTGGCGACTCATCGCAGCAGTTCCCAGCACCGTTGGTAAACTTACAGTGAACAAGTAGTCCGTGCGCTTGAGCCGAGCGTTGTGTTGCAGCGCGCGACATACAGAAGTGGGAGTACCAACCGCTGGGCCCGTTCACCGCCAAGAACTTCGCGACGACGCTGTCGCCGTGGGTGGTAACACTGGAGGCTCTGGAGCCCTTCCTGATGGCCAATCCCGAGCAGCAGCCGCAGCCGCTGCCCTACCTGCGCCACCAGGACCCCTTCAACTTCGACATCGACCTGCGCGTCGCCCTGCGCCGTGAGTTACGAACGCACGTCCTCTCTCAACAGTGTTCCCAGAATAAATGTTGCAAACTTCTACATTATGCATAATGCACAAATGTCTTTTTCCCCAATGAGTATGTATTTGGAAATTTCATATAAAGAAGTTACATGTGACTCATTAGGCCTCACTAGGTGCTCTTCGTAAGGTTTACTAAATATCTTTTACTGCTTCAGAACGTGACCCACCAAATCTAGTACATAATGAATTGCCTACTAATCAGGGACAAATGCCACATGTAACTTCCTTTTATGAGTTTCCCCCACCACATGTTCAATGGTTAAACGTTATCACTTTGACCCTTCTACATGACTTAGAAGTTTGTAACACATATTCTAAGCCACCTGCAAAGTACATTAAGGAAGGATGAGGATTTTCTACCTATCATAAGAACCCACTGAACAAAACTCAAACGTCCTGAATAGGAAATTATCCCTAAACCTGCATCAAATAGGTTTCAGAAGAAGAAAAAACGCAAATTTTCAGATGGATTTCAGATTTTTATAGGAGTGAAAGCAGGGACACATGTAACTCGCAGCACACATAACTGTGTAAATCCCATCATGTAAATTCGGATGCGGTTTAGGTCCTTAAAACCTTGGTTCTGTGACTGTAAAAGAACACAAATTATGTTTCTTATGTCCTTATGGCGCAATCTATGCAAGGTGGCCTTTATGAACGTTCCATTTCATTTTTGGACTCCACGTAGCATGGGTTCTGAAAAGCGTTCAAAGTTGGTTTCTACAATAAATCCTTTAAAACAAAGTTTTGCAAAGCGCTGAATGAAAGCGTAAGCTTCTGCAGCCGCAGTCGGTATCTATTTGTCTTTCCGGAAGTCGCCCCGTCTAAGCACAGATTCCAACGTTCTATTGTGGCAGCACGACGCAGAAACACAGACTTCTGTGTGGAGGACGCGGCGTCTGCCGGGCAGCCTTCTGAATAAAGTTCGAAATGTCCCCACGGGTCGATCGAACTATATTCTATTTATTTCGTTTCAAAACTGTAAAATGTGTACATGTCGTTGGGACGTGTTTATTTCATTTAGTGTTCAGAAGTAAAGCAAGATTCGATCTCGACATTTGCTCTATAGGATCTAAGAAACACTCATATTGGAGGGAGAAAGACTCATCATTCAATGAAAGAATATTGAAAGGGTTTGTGCAAGAGTGTCAAAAAACTAACTATAGGCAATAGATGGGTAATCTATGAGTGAGTGAATTGAGTAAAGTAATTCTAAACTATATTGATCATATGTACGTGTTAAACACGTTATTGAGATATGATAAGAAACTGACTAAATTTAGCATTTTACATCAGTTGTTAATTTCATTTGCTAGAATCTGATGTAATTAAAAGAAACGATGTTCGACTTTTCGGCCAAATTTTTGTAGCCTTCATCAAGACATGAGCGTCTATGTAGATTCAAGATTACTTATTAGATGTGGACCTCCATACATTTCGTAAATATTAAGGTTATAACCACATACCTGCACATTTTAAAGAAGTACAGATCAACCTAGAATCCATGGACTTTCCCACTGCGTAGCGAATGCTACTCCCAAGACTGCCTAGGGAAGAGTACAACATATTATTGAATTTATTTTCATTATTTTTTGTTGACATCTATATTAAGACATCTAAAAATTACTGGTTTAACTGCGCTTGTGAGTTTTTTTGACGTCATATTCGATAAATGTACTGCTTTTATCGATGTCTTTTGAAGGACAAACTTTTAAGGGCAGACTTATCTCTTCAAATATTAGAAAGTTAACACGACACAACCATCAACAAAATTAATTATTTTTAATTGTCACCATTTTTGTCAAGTAATATTAAATTTAATACAATAATAAGTAATATTTTTTTTTATTATATTAAGTAACATTAAGTTTATGTGAAGTACGGTATCATGTTACCTTAATCATACGTATCCGCCTTTATCATGTGTGCAGCTGCGGAGGGCGGCGAGCCCATCACCGTCAGCTCCACCAACTTCAGCGAGTTGTACTGGACGTTCAAGCAGATGGTGGCGCACCACACCGTCACCGGCTGCAACCTGAACCCCGGTGACCTCCTGGCGTCGGGCACCATCAGCGGCCGCGTGAGTAGATCCGTGATCGGGTAGAGTGGGTTGGGGCGGAGGGCGTGGTCACGTAATGGGTGGAATGAGAGGAATGTGACCCAGCGAAAAGATGACTGATTAGATCTCTGAGCGACCTGCAGAACCGTCTGGATTAATGGTTGTGGCATGAAGTAACATTACAGTTTGTCGCTTCGAAGGAATGCCCATTAAGCAGCAGTGAAATAATTATCAAACTACGAATACATCATCAACATTGTAAAAGGCCAATTATTAATCGTATTTTTATGTTACCATGTTGTGAAATATAAGATATGTAACGAATATAAAATTGCAGCATAGGAAATGGGTTATTGACGTCAAGGTAGTAAGTTGATATTGATGAACAAAGTATAAAAAAAGAAATGAATCTTAGATATGAGAGTAAATAATGTTTATTTAATTATTACGAGCTTAAATTGAAATTATTAAAAATACTAAGAAACGAGTTATTTTTATTGTGAAACACCTATATTGGTGATAAATATCCTCACTACTCCCCTGACTGCTTTATTTAGTGCATAGGCAATAACTTTATACGTGGTGCACAAAACCTCATAATGAAACAATTTTTGTCATTTGTTTCTGTCTTACAGCAGGGAAAACGAATTCGTTTTTTAATTTTTTCTAAATATAAATTTAGATGGAAGTTTACGTCATTAATGTTTTATAATCCGTTTATTTTATCTAAAAACCGTTTTACAAACCCAATCTGACGGATAATTGAACGTTACTGCCCATTGTAATGTGTTTTTGAGAACGAGTATTATTGTCTTGGAAATAGTAGATATTTTGCTTACAATGGTTTTCAGTTTTCGTGGTTTCATTCTGTATAACAAAAGATATTCGGTATGATTTTGGATTGATTTCGCTGAAAAGAAGTTTAAGTAAGGCTCAGATAATTTTCGAATTATTTTCTAATTTCGCGAAATAAAATCCAAACAGTAAGTCGGCATAAGACATCCAAAGCAATGAAACGAACGTCTTGAAGTCCACCCAGAGTTCTGCCTCACTGTTTTCCCGATTTCTAGTTAAACTCTCGAAAGTGTGTTACTACGAACTTGACTAAAACAGTAAAGTTGTTTTGTCAACTACATCAACACATTATATTATGGTTTCGTAATAAAATATTATTTTGAGAAACGTGTAAGCCATCCGTGTTATGCTTGCAAGTCTCTCTTCAATGAGCTTGGAATCTTACCACTACCTTGCCTATATATTTACGAATCTGTAATGTTTGACAAAAGTGACTTACACAGATAATCTTTCCCCCCCCTACGTCACATACAGTTTTACTGTGTGTTTTTTTTTTGACCGAATAAATCTAAATCATGAATGGGGCTGTATTTGCTCTTGCGCACAGGTGGCTCACTCGTACGGTTCCATGCTGGAGCTGTCGTGGAAGGGCACCAATCCCGTCTTCCTTCGGGACAACCTGCACCGCAAGTTCCTGGAGGACGGCGATGAAGTCATCATAACAGGTGAGGGGAAGTGACTGCCTTAGACCCCATATCAAACATTCGTTCGAGTCCAGTGCACTCGACGTGCATTTAGTGAAAGCGAGGAACTACCAGATAGAGAGAGGCCAAAAAACAAATTTTTCACTACAGATTATTGGCACATTCAATTCTATATTCAATCTAGAAAGTAATGCATTAGTAGCATTATTATAAATTATATATGTACTATTCTTGTTTTAAATACTCATTAGTTTAATAACAAAAGAGTAAAATATTGTTCGAGAAAAACAGATGGGAAAAAGAGGGGGTATAAATGGGCAGAGTGGTAGGTATAAAGGCGAGAGAGAGAGAGAGGGAGATGGAGAGAGATGGAGAGAGAGAGAGGTGGAGAGAGAGATGGTGAGAGAGAGAGGTGGAGAGAGAGATGGAGAGAGATGGAGAGAGAGGTGGAGAGAGAGATGGAGAGAGGGAGAGAGGGAGAGGGGAGAGAGGGAGAGAGGGAGAAAGAGAGGGAGAGAGAATTGGTGGCGAGGGAGACGGATGGGGAGGGAGAGAGATGGGGTAAGAGAACGGGAGGAGAGTGTGGGAGAGGGAGAGAGAGAAAGAATAGCAGAGGGGAGAGAGAGAAAGAAAGAGAGGGGAGAGAGAAAGAAAGAGAGGGGAGAGAGAGAAGAAAGAGAGGGGAGAGGAGGAAGAAAGAGAGGGAAGAGAGAGAAAAGAAAGAGAGGGGAGACAGAGAGAAAAGAAAGAGAGGGAGACAGAGAGGACTGAAGGGGCAGAGAAAGCGCCTTCTGGCACTGGTTCGCTCGTCCGTGCTGGGGCCGGGACGTTTGTGTTTGCAGCGCGTGCCGCGCGACGGGCTTCCGCGTGGCTGTCGGTCGAGTGCATAACGGGCCGCGTGCTGCCTTGCGCTGCCGCAGCGCCTGAGCGCCACCCGGTCCCTGCCGGCCCCGGCCCCGCCCCCTGGACCTCGGCCAAGGCTCCGGGGCACACACCGGCGAGCACGGAAAGAGGGCGAGCAGGAAGGAAAGGATCCACATTAAACTATGGTTGTGAACATCCTGGTTTTTCGGAGGCGGAAGCTTACAACAGCATGGACGTCAACATTATCAGGAGTCAGTAATTCAGAGTACATTTTTTGCTCACTCCAGCATCAAGGATTGTATGGCTTTCTTGAGATTCAGCAAAGAAACGTAACAATCAAACTGATATTATTGATTATAATAGTTAAAATTTCATGTAATATTTGAAGAAAATTGTTGCACGTAACTGGTATTCATATACCTTTAAAAATCTTAAGTGTATTTCACATTTTCAATACACATTCATTTGCATCATTGCAAAAACACCATGTCTACGGTTCTCATTTATATACTCAAGTCGTAAAATATATTTTTATAAATGTTTTTTTATTTCATTATTTTTTAAATGTAAAACTAATACATTAAAACATGAAGCGAGTGTCTCCAGAAAGAAAAGCCATTTCGTATTGTTATATTTGTATTGCAATGTACGAGTAATGGAGTACTATTACTCCTACTGTATTTTTATATATCTCACATAAAAGTGTATTTGAAGCATTTCTCAATTTATTTCCCTCCGCAACGTGTCCGAGGTGTCAACGAGGTGTAATACGCCGCTCTCTCCGAGTCCATCAGGAAAGCGGCTGACGGCACGCCACTCCGCTCAATGGCTTCCCCTCTCCCGCTTTCAATGAGGCACAGCGCGCCTGCAGGCCAACTCCCGGGAGAAACTCGACTCCTCTCCTGTGTTCCTCCTCTTGCTTCTCTTTTCTCTCCTCCTCCTCCTCCTCCTCCTCCTCCTTCTTCTTCTTCTTCTTCTTCTTCTTCTTCTTCTTCTTCTTAAAAATTACGACACTTTAATATTGTTTTAGATGAGAGTGGAATGCATAATTTAGACCCAATGTAGTTCATGTTAAACGTATGTGAAACAGGCATTAAATGAAAAAAGGAGTTACGTAAATAACAAAGGGGAAATGGGAAATGCAGGGAATGACATCTTTTTTATATATTAAGATACACGTTTCAACTTTTAAACTTGCTTTCACAATGCCAATTTGATAAAAATGAATATTTTTGTGTCTTTTGCAATATACAATGACATTATAACAATAAAGTATCAACTACTGCCAATCATAATTCAATGGTTCAATGGCAATCATAATTCAAATACTGTCAATTTTTTACTTCCATGATAATTAGGGAGCGGATTTTGTTGACGTAAAACATCGCCAAAAATGATCAATTAAATGCACTAACAATGTTTTCAAAAATGTTCTAAAAGCAAAGAAAATGGCGTAAAATGTTATCAAAACCGGTTCAATTGAACAACTCAAACAGTTGGTTATGCAAATGAGACTTCTTCCATTCTTTCATGTAAAACACAGCATGCAAACGTTTGGTATGAAGGGCTCTTTAGCAGAAAATATCTGTCTTTAGTTATCCCGAAATCGACCGAACCGACAATGACGCTGATAGGCGTTACAGGAACCTTACACTACATACTCACCCCGGCTGACATTACAGTTCCTGAGCGAAGAATTCGAATAGGCTTCTCAGGAATTCTAGGGACAACTTTTGTTGCATCTCATAAATATTATTTGAAGCAAGTACCATTAAAATGATATTAAAATCGACGAAATCAGCAAAAATGCATTAAAATGACTGTAAAATGTTAAAAAATTGACTGAATAGTTAAAATCGAAAAATTAAAAAATGACAAAATGAGTCATTTCGTTTTGTTATAACATTAATTTATCTTAGACTACTCCAGAATGTATGCATTTCTGCACGTTATCGGATACAGTAATGACGATTCCACAAGCTGCGCGAGTACTTTATTCTCGCACGTCTGTCGACAACTTACGTTGCGTCTTAGTTCATTCCACGACTGAGGGTTCTCGCAGTCGCCTACAGAGGGCAACAGCTTCGCGTGCTCTGCCGTACACCGCGTTCTGCCGCGGCAGGTTGACATACAACAGCTGAACCACGAAGCAGTTTGCGAGTAGGCGATTGTTAATAAAGTTATGTGGTAGCAGGAGGTCATATGGTGACTATGTCAAATAAAATGTCTACCACAAACACTACTCCAATCAGAACATAATAAACCTATCATTCCAAATATACAAGAAACATCTTGTTCTACGAATAGTAATTCTATTTTAGAAGAAATCGACTCAAATCAAGAGACAACTCCCTCGATAATAAATGTTAGCAATTGCTCTAATTTCACAATTAATTTTTTCAAAAAATAAATCTAGAGTATTTATGTTTGTAATACTTGTTTGGTTTACTTGTTTGTAGTTAATGTTATAGAATATTTAATTAATGAAGTAAAAAGTACAACGAATATAACATTATTTCAAAAAATAAAAACTTTTCAAATATTTTTTTGGAATGTTTAAAACATCAATTTTAAAGTCATAGAGGAAGCATAATCTTCTACTCGCGTAGAATGGCTGTTATTCACTCGTAGAAATTCCAACACTCGCTCCTGCGTCGCTCGTCGTCGCGTAAACATCAACTTGAGAATAATACCTAACATTCCACGCTCGTTGAAGAATATACTATTCTATACTAATCGGCATTGTTCTAAAGTGAAAAGAAAAAAGGCATTTCATTGAAATTCTGCCCATAATGATAATAAAGGGGATTGCCCCTTCATCTTAAGGCGTTCTTCCTTTTTACTTTCTGTCCCTCCGCGTGGAGAAAAAGTGTATTGCAATCGTGCGTCAGAAAAGGGCGAATTTTCGAATGAAATGCTCTGATTGTCGGGCTCTAGTAAGGAGAAAGAGAATAAATCTTGTTCCTACTTATAATAAATTACTTTATCTTACATGTATAGTCACAATCCATATTTCCTGGGTCCTTAGTACAAACAAATCGATTGGGGACAAAACGTCAATCTTTCCGTCTCTGTTTTGTCAGTTCGTCTGTCTTTGGTCAAAGCTAGAGCCAAAATCGTTCAGCCACTTTTTACCACAACTGATATTTCTCGATCAATTTCAAGAAACTCGAGACCTTTTAGTTTTAAATGGATATTTTCATTTGGGGGGTACTTTACATGAAGCTTCAACAACATTTTCAATTTTTCCCAACAAAAGCTCCAATTTTTTTGATTAATCTTTGTCCCTGGATAGCGAAAATGGTGCAAGTCTCACAGTTGTTAAAATCCCTAACATTTCGAAAATTGCAAAAGATCGAATTTTTCCATTAATTCTAAATTGTTTGAGTGTTTATAACTTGTTCACTAGAGATATTGTTTGCCCCTGGGTTATCAACTATTTTTAACATTTATTACCATATAGTATTCTCTTTCATTTAACATATGATTAGTGAATTTTTCATGTTCTAAGAAAGAGGTTCATTGGCAGCCATTTCCACTTGTGTCTAGCTGCAACAGCCACGTTATACAACTCGCACTCGTTTTCTAAACGAAAATATGTAGCAACACATTCGAAATTGTGACAAAAAGTATCAATAAATTATTAGTCAGTTTTTATACGGTTTGTTTGGCATGACGTTTCCAGCTTGACACATCTGACATTCGCTGGAGTGTAGCGTGTGAAGCCACGGTGGGGGGGGGGCGGCCCCTCGCCACCCCCGCGCAGCAGCTGGAGAAAGCAAGGATGGTGTTTCCTGCTGGACCACTTGGTACGGAGGTGCGGGGTTGGCTGCACCGGTGGTCCCATCAATCTACTCCTGCCACCTATTCTTGCAGGGTAATGGATTTGACAAACGAATCATAATTGATATCAAAATTGGTTCGGGCAGTAACGTTTGACAGCTTTCCACCTTTCGAAGTACATATTCCGGTAGTTCAAATCCATTTGTAGTAATCACGTTGGTTCAAATCCCATCTCGGTAGATCAAATCTTGGTTACTCTACTCTAGGTGGTCAAAAATCTGGCCTAGCAATGTGCAATTTGTTGAGGACAGCACCGTGTCACCGAAGGTTTCCATGTTGTTTTCGTTCTCCTACACCTCTCATCCCACTATTGCTTCATTGGCGGCCACGCCAGGGAACTCGCGGAAGGTCTAGCCTCCCCCGGAATTATTGAGAAAACAGTATTATTTTGAAACACTAATAACGACATACCCGTACTTTAGAGCGTAGCATAAAGAACTTTATTTAGTGTTCAATTCATTTAAATGGACGTTCCATTTAAAGTTTGACTGAATTGCAAGACCTAAAAATGTTGTTACCTCAACATCAGTCAACTCATTTTCATCCTGCCTCCTTCAATCAGCCTTTCATTTTCAGTGAAGTGCGAAGCTGATTATTTGAAATGAAGAACTGCATTGAAACAGTTTTCTTTCCATTTACTATTAATTTGTTATTACGGAACCAATTTGAAATATCTGATAATATACTATTTACGGTCTCTTCATTGCAAAGAATATTCGTATCATCCGCAAAGAGAACTGTTCTTCCGTTTCTAATCGTCGAGGGCATGTCGTTTACGAATAGTAGGAATAAAAAAAGGCCCTAAATTCAATCCCTGCGGGACTCCACAAGCAATTGGCAAAGAATCAGAAACGTGTGTACATAACGTTCCATTATTCCAATTAAGTATTTGTACTCTCTGAGATCGTTGTTTAAAGTACGAACATAACCAATCTAGAGCAACACCACGAATTCCTTACGAAGGTAATTTTGAGAGTAAAATTTACGATCAATGACGTCAAAAGCTTTTGATTTTCTAAACACATGTTGGCGGAAATTTCGTCGTGATTACTAAGAAATGTTTCCATTCGTACGTAAAAAAGTCTCTCTAGTATTTTTGAAAATACCGACAAAAGAGAATTTGGCCGATAATTTTGAATTTAATTTTTGTTGCCTTTCAGAAAAGAGGCTTAATCTTAGCTGTTTTAAAAATATCTGGAAAAATTCCTGTGCATAAGGATACATTAAATATGTGAGTTAACGGGTGTATAATGGCGAGTGTGCAAACCTTTAACAATCTGTGATAGATAATAACCGTTTGTATTTTCAATAAAGGGATGATGTACTTTATAAACAAGACGTATTTTGAAGAAAACCCCAGAATCATGCAGACAAGCGTTATAATATGAAGGCATGTAATGTAATAACATTCAGATCAAACATTTAAAAGCAGAGCACACGATTTCAAGAGAAGTAGCATGCGTAAGAACTGTTCTGTTATATGTTCGCTTCCCTTTCATAGAGCTCATTATTGTAAATTATCCAGAAGAAGAATCGCGCTTCCCAGCGACAGAATGGTACAGAAACACACATCTAAGGGAATACAAATATTGTATGCAATGTAAATTTAAATTCGTTTGATATTCTTTTAGATTTCAATAATATATTTAGCTCATTAAATGAATTAAATTTAACATCTGTAACTTATGAGTAATGTTTTTGGCATTACATAAATTGTTCGTAATACATATATAAGATTGTTTCAAGTATAAATTATTAAGAAAAATTAGTCTTCACAACACATTGCAAATCACTACTTATAATGCGAAATGACCCTCTTTATACTTTAGAAAATATTTATTTACATTTTAATTTTTTTATATTGAAATAACAT